CAAAGGAGAAGTGCTCACTAACACAGATTTAGACAGATTTGTGAACATTATTTGAGAGAAATAGGCCTTTTGTGTACATAGAAAAAGTCTTAGATCTTTGAGTTCAGCTCATGAAAAATGGGGGCAAAAACAAAAGTGTTGCGTTTACAATTTTGTTCAGTGTATGTATATATATATATACAGTATATATACGTATATATATATATTTTTTTTTAATTAAGGTAAATTAAGACATTATTGAGAAATATCATAATAAATATACATAAAAATATTGTGTGAAGTGAATGAAAAACTATGTGTAAAGAAGACAAGCATGAGCGTTGTGAGAAAAGGAACAGTGTCTGAATAATTTAGTGATTTTCTCTGACAGTAGTTACTGAACATTTCATGCTTGCATGATCACAGAATCGAAACAGCTCATGCGCAGCTTAGCACGTCAACGGGAATAAGCTCCCACCTGACAAAAAGTGTACTAGCACATCACAACAGTGGAATTTGTGCCAACAAGGGCACTTGAAGAAAAGTCTATTATGCTGGTGAATGTTTACACTGATCTAGCTCTGCGGGAGTCTCCCTGTCGAGAGGACCATGTCCTTTGTGAAATAAGTGCCAGACACTGCACAGAGTTTGCAGCATATTTCCTTCGTTATTCCATGATCTAATTTCCTCACTACGCGGCTTTTGTGAATTTTACAGCAGTTAAGGCACTATAACAAATCCAAACAGATCCGTGAATGAATACTGTCAGCCTACTTGCATTCATTTCAAACTGTTTTCAAACTCACCATCTAGCTGGAAAGGAGTGCAGGTAGGTCCATGCCTAACATGTTTTTGAAGTGACTCTGCTCAAAGCATCACTGAACGGTTTCCTGAATTAGCCATCACATTCCAACCATGAGCGCAATGAAAGGTGAATGTTGTGTGAAACGGCATTGCCCCACTTGCTGGTGATATCATCCCACTGACATAGAGCTGTTCTGCCCTTGTTTGGGGAAAGGAGGCGGAGCCATCAGAGAGCTTTTCATGCACTCTTTTCTCAGCTTTCCTCTCTTATTCTCTTCCCCGAGATTGAAGTCGGGATATTGTTTTAGGAAACAGTCAATTAGAGCTGTGGTCAATGCACTAAATCCTCTGTATCATTTCAAGGGTTCCCTTTCCATCTCATATAAACAATAAAATGACCCAATTATTTCCTTTCTCACATGCAACCAAGTGTTCCCATGGGAACAGACAACAATGCAAGGGAAAATTTTTGTTTCGTAAGAGAACAATGTTGCACTCTCAGATCAGATGAAGCCCTGTCAGAAATGCAACAAGAATGCAGATCTGACACACTAAATGAATAAAAAGTAAAAAGGTCATTACTCAGCAAGTAATATTTTGTAAAAGGTTGAATCATTTAATTACTGCAGGAAGTTTACTGATATAGTTGGTTATTTTCTGGCAAAGGTTTAAGATGACAGCTGGGAAAATCTACTGAAATCCTCAGATCCACTGTGACATGGGCAGCGAGAGACTTGTAAATCATAAATCATGTGAATGGTGATAGAATGACATCATCTTTTGGTGTCTAGTATAAATGTGCTTGCGATTTAAATTACAGCCTGAATATCAAGAGCACATGAAACGTCCAGATGTAGTTTTAATTGGAGATGTTTGCTAACACACTTACAGTAAGAATGAAACTTTGATGTGCAACTATTGCTTCAAGCGATCAGACATAATATTTTCCTGGAAGATGATAAAACGGGTGAAAAAAATCCCCTAGATGTGTTAATTGGATCCCAATTATCTTAGCAACCACCTTGCAACCATCCAGAAAACCCTAGCAAACACCAAACATCTGCCTTATTTTAAGTTTTACTTAAATGCTGGATTGTATTTTGCAGTAAACATGAAACAGCATTCACAACGCATTTTCCTTCCATAATGTGACATTTGCCAGTGAAACTAAATATTAACAAAGGAAATGTATCCATCAGGAATTGGCTGGATCATTAAAAGTGGCCCACTGTTTTAAATATACATATACTGTATATACACACACACACATATATTGACTTGACGTGATGAAACATCACACTTGTTGATGGTAAAATCATTAGTATCTGTCTTTCACTGACCTATACGTCAATCAAAGAACAAAACTAGCTGTCCTCATCAGATTACAGTCTTTCTTGAATATGGGACTTCAAGAGGAAAAACAGCAAGTGTAAATGTCATGTGAAAGAGAGAGGGGTAATTTGAGGAGGAACGGCATTGCGGATGCTAATAGAAGCTCAACACACAGCAGTTTTATATTCCTGGCGGGATTCCCCGCAATCGCCCGGCGTTCAGTCCCACTGGCGTGACCTCACCTGCTATGAATCTCTGAAATGAGAGAATTATGAAGGAATGTCCAAACACACGGGCTGGAGATAAGTGTGATAAGTGGAAGGAAGGAGTGTGACTGAACGGTGCCACTGCAACAAACTAGAAATGGCATTTTTATAGATTTGCCATGACTTTTTTTGACGGTGCATCACACAAATGAACTCCTTTTTTAAAAATGCAGTACAATTAAAATGAAAAACAAAAGATTCCATTTATATTTATGCTATATCTACAGTCTTTCAAAACGCATGTCCACTGAACCTTAGAGTCCAGAACAAATTTCCATTTGGAGACAACAGAGCATTTTCCAGGTTTTATTAAGCTTCCAGGATCCAAGTTTTGAGCTAAATATCATTTGCTACTCAAGCTCAGGGTGGTAAATGGGAAGTCAGGGGACCGTGACTGTGGTCGACCACTATAGGGGTCTTATCAGAAAATGAATGAACTCATTGTCTCTGTCAGGAATTGTTTGGATTTTGCAGTTATGAGTCATCTGATTTTCCAGTGATAAATATATTGTTTAATAAATAATTTGAATGTAGCATATGAGAGCTTTTCATAATATTAAATGGGAAATAAAATACACTACCATTCAAAAGCTTGGGGCCAGTTGATTTTAATGTTTTTTTTAAATAAATAATTTTATTCAGCAAGGACGCATTAAACTGAGCAAAATAAAGTTCTACGTCATCCGCTGGAACGCCACTCTCTCGTGAAGGTGAAGCACCACCACCCCACACACCCACCCCATACTACTAGCGAT